TAAGATCAGACCGTATGCTCCGTCTCTTTTTTCTTTCTTTTTCTTTCTTACTTTATCTAAAGTTCTTGTTATTAAAAAAAAACGTAAAGGAGACTAGGCAAAATGTCCTATGCGGAAACATAATGCGTAATATTTAGTATTATCATATCACAGTACTTAAAAAAAACACAGCAATGCAAGGTCATATATTAGACAAGGAAATAGTCTAATATATAAATATGTTTGCATATTTTATTCGTAACTTAAATGTTCAACTGTAATTGTGTAAAAACTCAGCTTCTCCCTTTCTCCCCAATTAATTTAGCGCCAAATGATTTGTCTTGTGCGTCTGTGAAACATCATATAAATATTTCACGATTCGACTATGTTTGAAGTGATGATCTGGCAGAGGCCTCTATCAAAGACTGCAGGTTATCAAAACCATAAATCACTGCCTGCACTGTTGTCTTTAGGCATACATGGATTTTTCTCTTGTTATGGCTGCCGTTAAATCGGAGACAATTTGTCATTTTTCGGGACAGAAAACCACGACAGTGAATGGTGGCACGAGTTTTAACGTTCTATGCTGGCTCTGCGCGTCAGTCTAGCGAGGGGGGTCATATGTAATGAGGATAGTACTTTCTCAATTTTAATTGAAAAATAAATAAATAAAACTGCAAAATAAAGATGTCAATAAAGAAACCCAGATGTTTAGAAGCTTATTCTATGTGTATTACTGTATAGGCTGTGATATTTTTTTGCTTGTAAAAGATTTGGCTTTAAGCAGTTGGTTTATTAGAATTTCACTAAAACATATCACGTTATTCTGAAAATAATCATGCATATTTCTTAGCCCTTTTTTATGCCAAAACGCAGCTGGACACATTTAAGTGTGGGATATGTGGCAGACATGGTTCTTACACATAATATGCAAAGTAGTTTATGCATTTGAGACACTTTTCACAGATATTTTCTTTATTGGTTTACATTTGAGTTTGTAAATTCAGGACACACGAGTAAAGATCTGATTTCAATACAAACACAGTGTTGTGCTATTTTACTTAAATTAAAAGTATTACAGCTGTTACTGCACCTTGCAAAAATATCCTTGGAACTAAACTCAGTTTGGTCTCATTACAACAAATTTCATATTTCATTTCAATTTTATGTTACAATCAATACAACTAGGTGCAGTTAGGTGGATTGAAAGGAAATTGTATATTATTTTTATATATTTTTACAAATATAAATCTTATTCTGATACTCCTCAGTGAAATCCCTATAAAGTAAATCCTGATGTGGCAGCATGATGCTGTGGGAAGTCTTTTTTTTTTCTTTTTTACCCAAAAGGCAGGGAAGTTAGTCAGAATTTCTTGGTAGGTATAGATGAAGTTAAATACAGGTCAATATTGAAATAAAAACAATTGGAGCAAATTCTCCCCCTCCAGCACCTACTCTGAACTTAAAGCCTTAGCTACAGGGGAACAGCTTAAAAATAATGGTTCAGTCAAAGTCCAGACCGAACTGGAATTGAGAATCTATAGAAATAGCTGCTGTTCACAGACATTCCCCAACAACTTTTCCTGAAAGTGAGATACTTTCCAAAGAATATGTTAAATATTAATTTTTAGACATGCAAAGTTGGGAGAGGCATGTTCCCAACTTCCAAAATTGCAGAAAAAGTTGATGCAACAAAGAATTGACTCAGAGAGATTGAACACAAGGGCACACTACTCTTTCATTCACATTTTTATTGCAATAATTTCTTATTTTTCTACCATTTCACAACTATGCACTACTTTTTGTTGGTCTGTCACATAAAATCCCAATGAAATACATTGAAGTTTCTGTTGTAATGTGACCGAATTTGAAGAAGTTTGAAGTTTGTGAATATGCTGTGTTCGCATACATATTGCTCACACAAACAGATTGTGCTGTAACAGGCACTGGGTTGCCGTGCCCTTAGGTGTGTGCCAGGGGTTTGTTGTTTTCACTGTAATATATAGTTAGCCCTTCCACCAATTTACCCTGTCAGTGCTAATGGGGCAATTAACCATTGTGATACCCCCCAGGCAGAGCCGAAAAGCTTCCCAACTCCAAACTTGTCTTTATGACATTTATATGACAAAAAGTGGGGGAAACTGGGGACCCATCTGACACCTTGGAGGGTCCTTAATGTCACTCCCTCCCTTGCTCCAACCCCCCCTAACTGCCCCGGGGTATGGCACCACGCTGGAAGTGTAATACATCATGTACAGTAAGAGGCACAGGCTGTGTCCAGCAGGGAGAAACTTTTGTACTACTGCAGACTTACACGCCGAGTCGTGTTCTGCATTGTTCTAATTGTTAATACCCAAACTCACAGTTAACATCCTCAAGCCTGACCTCTCCCTTCATTTAACGGCTCTTCCGTGTCTGTAGGTCCTTTTGTCTGAGCTCACATTCCACCTGTCCTTCTTGCTTCCCCAAGGAGGCAATAACCTCACTAGCAAGAGCTTCCCCCTCGAGCCGTTGTCATAGTAACTTGTGGGCTGGTCGACATGACAACCCCACCATGGTCCAGAGATAGATGATAGGGCAGAAATGGGGAGGGAGCATGCACATGGGGGATTTGCACCCAATTTAATTTGGTTTCCCTGATTCTGATTTTAAATGGAATTTTTTTTTCTCCCTGTTTCTCTTTGAAGGCGCATCAACCTGCGCTACATTCACACAGGTATTTATAGGCCGCAAAAGCATACGCTTGCTAAGGCTTACGGCACCTGGATGGCCATTGCCAGAGAAATACTAATAGTTTATGTTTTAGTTACATAGAATATCATAGAAAGTGCCATCATATTGTGCTTTACATTTTTTGTTTCGTAAAAATACATGAAGGAGTGCTACTTTTTACTGCCGTGGCTTTTAAGTATAGGGTCTTGCAAATTTGTTGCTATTTCATATTTTGTCAGATTATAGCTGCAAACTGCTGTGTATTTAATTGAGATTTTATATCACAATGAATGACAAATTCTTTCTGAGAACTAATTACTACTTCAATTAAAGCTGAAAGTCTTTTGGGGTGTGTTCCTACCGGCTTTGCAGCGTTCTTCTTTACCAAATTTTCCAAGCTCAGTCGGTTTTGTTTAAGACGTGGGCAAATAACAATTTGTAAAAATAAGAAAAAGCATCCCCATAGAACGACGTGGGGATGCTTATCTAAGTTTCAACTTATGTTGTGTTCAGTGTGATGTACACAGTTAGTTTTGCACTCCCAGCGTTTTGTTTTGGTCCTAAGGTCACATTTTTATTGTACCTGGTTACAGGACCTTGCTCCTCATGTCCTCTAAATATCTGGAATCAAAATGCAGGCAGGTTTGCTTGTTGCTATCTATTTACTTAAGTGAATTGTGAACCTAAACAGTGGCAAATGTGGAGAGATTTTCATTAATGCAAAAATAACTATATCCTTTTTGTTTCGCTTGACTGTCATGCACTGTCGGTCTATCACAGTCAAATTACAACACTGAAGGTTGTTGTAATTTGACAAAATAGAAAACTCAGGAAATATGCAATATGTTGAAGTTCTCTCATTCGAGTAATAAATCCAGTGTTGGTTCTTTCACTGTTTCAGATCATTTCAGAAGAGGAACGTGCCGATGCACAGCAGCAGCAGCAGGAAGGCTCTCCTGTTAAACCTCAGCGTCAGCACCTGGTGATATGCTGACTTTGTCATAGGCTGTCAAAAACAGATCCAATGTTACTGCAGTCTGTTCTGTCAATATGTCAGTCTTGCTTGAAAATTCATTTTAATGGTTGGAATAGGCATTGAAATGCCTCAAATGTTAAAGAAACATCAGAAGGCCTGACGCTAGCTCAGCTAACTGGCTATTCCTTTCAGCTTTCCCCTAATAAAGTTGTTTCTGAACAGGCTTGTTATTATCAACCGGTTTTCCATCAGATGAAGGACTACAAATAAACTTTTGAAAACATTCTGATTGGAATGGAATTATATTATCCAGACAATATTTACTTGATTCTGTAAATGATGTTTAAATTGGGAATGTGTGTATTTCCTTTCAAATTATTACTTGTAGCAGTTTTGTTTATGTTCAGAGAATCATTTTTGAAAAAAAACATATTGTATTCTATTAATATATTTCTACAGGTATTGGCTTGTATTTGTTCACAAGAACAATTATCCCTCTTTGAACTTTGTTTCTGATTCGATTTGATCAGACCCCCTTCTTGTTTGTGTGACGGTTTCCCTTTTATTGTTATCATGATTCATTTGTTTATTTTCAAATATGTTTGATATGTTATTCATTTTATTTTTTGTAGCCCCTGCCTTGGACAGATGAATTTCCCCTTGGGGATCAATAAGGAGTATCATCTTATTTCATTTCATCTCATCTCATCTCATATCATCTCATCTCCATGGCTGTGGCTTACTGCAGTACGGCATTTATAATAATAATGTTGGATGTACATGAGAGTGCCTACAGCTAGCCAATATTTAGAATCAAATTTTAAAGATAGATAGATAGATAGATAGATAGATAGATAGATAGATAGATAGATAGATAGATAGATAGATAGATAGATAGATTGATTGATTGATTGATTGATTGATTGATTGATTGACCACATGTAAAACTAATCCACTCATAGTCCATACCTAAATCTCAATAAGAATACCTGGCAATATATGGAAAATAATTATTACAGATAATCCCCATCCAATCGGACTGAACTTGAGCTATTTCATAAAGAAGAAAAGGCAAACGTTTAAATCACTAGTTATTTAAAGACATAAACATACCCCAAAAGACTTGTAGCCGTTATAGTTATATCACGTATTTACTCAGGGTGGCTTGTCATACTTTTTTTTTTTTTTTTTGCATAAAATGTACCATTTTCCCCTCAATTCACAATTATGCCTTATTTTATGTCATAGAATTGTATGCCAATAATTTGCATTAAAGTTTGTTTCTGTAATCTCAAAAAATGTGAGAAGTATGCTTCTGCAAGGCACTATACATAGATTTTTAATATATTTGGCGGTTATCAGATCATTCTAAAAACTTAGCAACAGTGTCCTCTCGTGAGTTAAAGCGGAACTGACAGGAGCCAGCTGAAAGTCTTCTCCCGGCCACCGTACATATGACAAAATTAAGATTGTGGTTGTGAATAATAATGAAGGCGTTTGAACTGTAATCTGTGGCACTATTGCTCATTTTTAGGTGTTTGGAGATGGAAGATGAATGGGAAGAAGAGGTAGTAAAAACAACGATTGTGCTCGCGTTTAGTTTAGACAATAGCCACACTGTTAGCCTGACATAGCTAACCAGTTAGCCAAAGGAAATTGTTAAGTATGTGAGATTTTCAGAATTAATTATTATGTTATTGATGGCATTTAGATGATGATATTCAACATTATGTAGTTTCAACATAAAGAAGTCTTCTGCCGTCTGTTGTAACCAAACAAATAATGTTTTTTAGCATGTTTTTTATAACACGATGCCGAAGTTGGTATCCCATTCTTCATTTGCAATTTCACTGTATTTAACAAAACGTAATCCGCTAAAAATGTTAAATATTTGAAATGCTTGAGAGTGAACTTAATTGTTATAAACGCATTTCATATTCTATCAAATATTTAATGGAAGGGGTTGAAAGGTGCCCTATTTTTGTTTTCACAAATTCAAAAATGTTTTTCCAAGTCACGTACTGTGTTTTACAGAAAGTGCAGAGTTTAAATTTCAGATCAGTATTTTTAGACTTTGGACTAAAAACAATCAAAGACTGGAATGACTATTTGATAGATGCCAAATCTGAAGCTGCAAATCAGACTCAGGTGTTGTTTTAGGACTTGATCCCCAAACTGCATGTCTCGTTGGTTTCATTCTATATGTGGGATTTTTAAAATGTGCAGTTATTGTTAACTAAAAGTTTGTACATTCCAGCATCATTGACTGATTTTGTGTTGCCTTCAGGAGCAGCTTGTTGTGGTGGAGCTCTCTGGAATAATCAACAATGACTTTCTGTCCAAGTGTCGGACCACTTGTAAGATACTGGTGAGTTTTTGGTTATTAATTGTGTGGATTATGAACCTAAATTTTAATTTCAACCAACTTTGGATCACTGTGCATTGCAGCTGTTTGATCTTTGTCTTTACATATATATATATATGTATGTGACACAGGATATAGATAGTGAAAGACCCATGATGCAAGTTGGACAATATGTGTTTGCAGGCGAATATGAAGGTAAGAGCAAATGTTGATTTGTTCTTTTTCTGGAAATATTTTCAGACTTAACACCACTTACAAGACATCTTTTCAGTGTTTTTAATCCATTATTCTAAATCTAATGTTTAGTCAATATAAAAGAAAGTAGATTATGTAGATTCTTTAATTTCTTAAGTGGCCTCAATTTCCATTTGGACAGTCTTTAACTAGTGTGTAAGTATTTCAGTTTCTTTTATAAAAATCTCAACTCTTGCTTTAATTCCTTTTTAGTTTAAACCAAAATGCTACTCCCATTACCGTAAGGTGTTATATAAGGTGTTATATATATATATATATATATATATATATACATATATATATATATATATATATATAAAATAGACAGCATTGCTTGATTTTGTTTTCTAATGCAGTGTTTTTCAACCTATTTTGAGCCAAGGTACATTGTTTTAATTGAAAAAACTCCCGAGGCACACCACCAACCAAAAATGCAAACAAAGATACTCTGTAGCCGCCTATATTATATATATATAGTCATTCTTATCAAAGTGTCTTGAATATGAATCAAATAAACACAAAAATTTATTTTATCATATTTTACACTTATTTCAAATTGCACTTAACATGTCCACTTCAAAAATACACCTGAACAGTGCCACAACACTGTTGTGTGTGCTGCATGAATGTAGTAACATTCATGCATCATTAATTCTCGTTTTAATGTAAAATGCTCTATACCTACTGCCATCTAGTGATAATAAAATTACATGCTTGCGCCACTAGTCACTACTACAGCAGAGACACTCAAAGATGGTATTATTTGCAGAAAATTAATTCGTTTTCAAAATATCTTTTAAGACCAATTACCGTATTTTCCGGACTATGAGCGCACCATACTATAAACTGTACCTTCAAATTTTTTGAACCCCCCGCCGCCCTGGAAACTTACATAAATCAGCCGAACCGGGCTACAGGCCGCTGGTTTCTCTGCCGCTCTCGGTTTCCCATAAGGACCCAGCAGAGGGCAGCAGAGGGCAGCAGAGGGCTGCGTCCTAATAACTGCTGGATATATTAAGGACGCAGTTCTCCATCTCCAAATCCGGTTTTGTTCACACCGAGTTTACATGCAGTGGCTTTATTTCCCTCCT